CTGACACATGCGCGTTTCTTACAAATCTGAACACGTTTGTACTAGGTACGTGTCTAAACACGCTTGTACCAGGTGCGCGTTTCTGACTGTGATGCGACTATGTCACAGAATGTGTGCCTGAATATGACGCATCTTGGTATTGTGCTCATCAGACTTGTCAGAAACGCGCATATGGTACAGACGTATTTAGACATGTACCTGGTACAGACGTGTTCAGATTTGTAAAAAACGCGCATGTGTCAGGTGCGCGACTAAACGCGTAATCACTTGAAACGCGTCTTCCTGCATTAGTCCGGTAAAACGCTTGGTCAACGAACTAAACAGGTGGATTTTTTTAAAATTTGCTTCTTCTTTTTTTTGTCAAAACCCCATAAACTTGCTTTCACTTTGGTTTAATTGTGCATTTGAGATGACATGGAATTTTTTTGTCTCAATGCATTTGAAATGTAATGGATTTGGTGGTAAGCGGTCCATATGATGCGTTTATATGCATACTGAAATGTTATAGGTGAATTATATGTATTTGAATGACAAATATTTATGATATGAATTGATTGTGATAAAGTCATAAAGTCTCTATATGTATATTTAATTTTGACTTTATGATTAAGATAAGTAATAATTCTTGTCTATAACGCAATTTGTGGTAGTAATGGATACAAGAGTTTTATATCCAGTGAAATATTTAATTTTATGTAAACTCGGATAGAGGTGGTAATATGGATTGAATACGATGGATCAATCCATTAACTCGTCAAAATGGGGTAAGTTGAGTTACATATCTTAACCTACCAATCTCCCTCAATTGGTCTCAACTGGCGGGTCAAAATGGATTGGCGGCGGGTTGGCTTGTCGGATCATTTTTTTTACTATTAGATAGTATTTTATTTGTCACTAAGGGCCTGTTCGGTAAGATGTATAAGACCTGATAGTATAAGTTTATACTATACGTTATAACATTTTTAGTTGTTTAGTATAACCATCGTATAGTATAAGCTTATACAACCATCAAAATGATATATAACTTAATCAGGCCTAAGGGTGTGAGATTATGTCTGATAAGAGATTGATGTATTAATATTCAGAAAAATATTTCTACAGTTACTGCAGATAAGTTATCTGCATTTATTTTCAAAACGACGTCATTTTGAGATGAAAATATTAAAAAATTATAATTATAAAGACTATAATAATCCTAAAATAAATTAAAATTACAAAAACACCATGATTTCCGTCCCTAAACGACGTCGTATTGGGCTTACTGCAGATAACTTATCTACAGTAACTGCAGAAAAACGAACCCATTAATATTACAGATCAATGCAATTCTCAAGAATTAATATATTATTTCAATATTAATAGATTAAAATAAAAATTAATTTTTTAATATATTAGAGATTTTTATTTTTATAAAAATTAATATATTTTTTGGACACACTGATTAATAGATTTTTATAAAAATTAATATCATATGACATATTTAGAAGAATTATATAAATTCTTTATTAAATGATATTTTTGTTAAAAATATTTATTTTTATTCTATTTAGTATTATGCAGTGCATTAACAAATACTGGATGATATTATACTATACAATACATTATCTTATACAATATCATGCCAAATGCTAGATAATACTAAAATTTAATTAGGTCTTATACAATCAGGCCTTATACTATCAGATCTTATACTATTAGGACCTGTTTAGTGTGACGTATAAGGCATGGTAGTATAAGCTTATATTATACGTTATGACATTTTCAGTTGTTTGGTGTGACCACCGTATAGTATAAGCTTATACAGCATAATCCCTTAATATATCAAAACGATGTATAACTTAATCCGGCAGATTGATGTGTTAATATCGTTGACCAATGTAATTCTCAAAAATTAATATATTATTTTAATATTAATCTATTAAAATAAAAATTTATTTTTCAATATATTACTTTTTAAAATATTGAATATTTTTATTTTTATAAAAATTAATTTATATTTTGGACACACTGATCAATAAAATTTTATAAAAATTAATATCATATGACATTTTTTGAAGAATTATATAAATTATTTATTAAATGATATTTTTATTAAAAATATTTATTATTATCATATATAGTATTATACAGTGCATTACCAAATACTAGATGGTATTATCTTTTATAATATATTATTTTATACAATACCGTGCCAAACGCTAGATAGTATTAAAATTCAATCAGGTCTTATACAATTAGGCCTTATACTATCAGGTCTTATACTATCAGGTCTTATACTATCAGGTCTTATCCTATACTATGCACCAAACATGCCCTTAGGTCTTATCTTATATTGTGCACTAAACATGCTATAAGCTTTTGTGATATCCATTTTTTTTATCTTATTACTATCCTAGAAAAATAAAGAAGAAAAACTTTAAATATGACAAAGGTTATCCGTATATAAAGGCAAAAATAAGTTGCTAAAAAATGTCTTAGTGAATATTAGCATACATTTAAGCTTGAGATTGAAAAAAACTAAGGAGAGTGTGAAATTAAAATAAGTAATATTATAAAATTCATAAATACAAATTCATAAAACGGGGCGGGTTAGACTTTTCAACCCCTATTCAAGAGGCGGGGCAGACCAACCCATTTCTTGGCGGGTTCACAGCGGGTCGGGATAGGCTAACCCGTATTGTCACCTCTAAACTTGAAAGGGCTATCTTAGTGATGGCATGATCAAAGCCAATGTGAGATTATCTTGAATGTTGTAAATGACATGACAATTGTGTATTATCTTATAGATTGTTAACCAAATGATGTTAAAATCATTTAGAAGGGATAATATGTCTTAGAGAAGTCACTTAAACAATACACTCAGTTTTGTGAAATATACACATGAAGTTGAAATATGCAATAACACACAATTAAAGTGTACCGTACGAAAATATATGAATGTGACAAGAAAAAACTTGAGCCCAGTGTTAGACACGGTATGCTTAAGACAATTTTATCCTTTTTATGATGCTCAAGATTCATGGACAATTATCTTCTATGATAGAACATATTACCTCTATTTTTGTGGCGATACTTTCATATTAATAGTCACATCAAACTCAACTTATATTTGACTATTCACATTAAAATAAAAGAATATAAATACAATTAAAAAAAACTATATTAAAATTTTGATTTTCTATTTGGGTTTGTTGTTTGTCATTTTAAATGATATAAGTTATGTCATTTTAGGAGAGAGATAGACACAGAAAAACGGAAATCATGGGAGAGAGAAAGTGGGTGGTTTTTTTTTTAATTTAAAATTCAAATTTTTTGTGTCTGTATCTCTCTTAAAATGACATAACTTTCTAGGGGTGTTCATCAACCGATCCAAACCGATTCAAACCGCGGTGACCGAACCGAAAAATCAATAACCGAATAAACCGAAAACCGAAAACCGAAAAATCGAAAACCGAAAAAAAACTGCAAATTTTAATCGGATTGGATCGATTTTTGGATGGGTTGATGAAAATCGATCTAATCCAAACCGATCCAATATATTAATTCCCCTCTACCTACTTGGGTCTTTTTTCCAATCATAGTCCAAAAATTTCTAAACCCAAGACCCATTGGGTATCAACTAAACCCAAGAAAAAATCTAGTCACATTTCATCAACAAAATTTTATCTTTGTAGAGCTTCATATCTTATTGCCCCAAAAAAATAATTATATTATAGTTTACTTATGCTTTTGTATTTAAAAAATAATAATTTACAAAGCCAATATATACAAAAGATGTTATTTGCATAATAATTATGAAATAAATTTTAGGATTTTCAAAAAACCGAAAATCGATCCAATCCAAACCGAAAAAAATTGGATTGGATCGGATCGGATTTGAAAAAAAATCCAAACCGAATGGATGATTATATGATCAAACCGAAAGGATTGGATCAGATAATTTTTGCTTTCAAAACTGATCCAATCCAGACCCTGAACATTCCTATAACTTTCTGTCATTTAAAATGACAAAAACTTTTTTCAATCTATTTATTTATAAAAAAGCTCAACTTGCTTCACGATTCTTGTCTAGTACACCCCGAAGACACAAAGAAAAATCTCAAATGCAACCGGCAACTTGCTGTCAAAGCTTCTTTATCTCTCTTCGCACGTATTCCTTTCTCACTCCTAACTTTTCCAAAAATACGCAATTTCCTTTTTTTGTTTGAAAATGAAAAACTACGCAATTTGCTTGTATTGCATATTCTTAACATCCGTCTTAAATTTTAAAATTTGACATCAAATCTTATTAGTTGATTTTTGTTAATCAAGATTATTATTTATTGAAAATTAATAATTATTTGATAAATTTAATTTCCAATAAATGATAAATATTGATGGATGAAGATCAACTGTTAAGATTTGATATCAAATTTTAAAATTTGACACCGATGTCAAATGATCTTATCCATTAAAAATTATATATAATTAAATTTTAAAAATATATTTTAAAATATCTGATATTATTTTTTAAAAAGCATGAAAAAATTAAATAGAAAGTAGTAAAGAAATTACGAAAAATTAAAAAAGAAAATAAATAAGTTTAAAATTAAAACGATGATATATGTAATAAGTAAATTGAAAGGGAGATGGGAGATTGAATTTGAATTGAATTTTTTTTTTTAAAAAAAGTTTAGAATAATATAAATTATTCTGCCCTTGTGTTTGAAGCATTTAAAAATAAGAATAATTCATCAAATTTTATGTTTAGAAGTTATTAAAAATAAATTTTATTTTATTTCACCAAATAATTTATTTTAATAAGGATAAAGTGATTAATTAATATTCTACCAAAAAAGTGATTAATTATATATAATTAAATCATGAAAAAAATAATTAAGTAAAAAAGAAAAATCTAAGCAAAGAAGAGGACCAGTTCAGGTGGGAGAATAATTACCTATAAAGAACCTAAACTTCAACGCTACAAAGCCCTCTTTTTTTCTACTCTCTTTCACGCTCTTTGCTTCAAATTGCACCACCGAGAAAAGAAAACACCTTCCCATTCCTCCGCCACCACACATGGAGGCGCAATCTACACAACAACCCACTCCTCCTCCACTCTCCTCCGTTTCGCCCCATCACAGCTACCCTGACTCCGTAGATTCCTCCCCGCGCTCCCGGAACACCGACTCATGGGACGAGCCCTACCCTCCACCAACCTCCAATAAGCTCCGCCTCATGTGCAGCTACGGCGGCCACATCGTCCCTCGCCCTCACGACAGGTCCCTCTGCTACGTCGGCGGCGACACCCGCATATTGGTGGTGGACCGCCACACCTCACTCTCGGATCTCTCAGCGCGACTCTCCAAAACCTTCCTTAACGGTAATCCCTTCTCCCTTAAATACCAGCTCCCAAGCGAGGACCTCGATTCACTTGTCTCTGTCACCACCGATGAAGACCTCGATAACATGATCGACGAGTACGATCACCGAACCCTCTCTTCTTCCTCCAAACCCTCGCGAATCCGTCTCTTCCTTTTCCCGGCCCAGCCCAATTCGCTTCAGTCCATTGGGCCGGTTCAACCGGGCTCGGCTACGACTAAGTCTGACGACTGGTTCCTTGATGCACTGAATACCGGCCGGGTTCTGTCGGACTCCTCATCCGTGAATTGCCTCCTCGGACTCGACGACGAGGTTGCTGCTGCTGCTGCTGCTGCTGTCGGGAACGACAACAGCAACAACAGCAACAACCTCAATTCATCCCATCCCGGGAATGGGAAGAATTTGAAGCAGGGACAGGATGTTCATTCTGTGCCGGATTCGCCTATGCTGGAGACGAATTCGTCTTTTGGGTCTACTTCGTCGTTGCCATCAATTGCGAATTTGCCGCCGATAAGGGTTCATGCCGAGGACGGTGGTGGTAACGGTGGTGGTGGTTTTGGGACTAGGGAGCAGGATCAGAAGGTGTTGGGGATTGAGGAACAGTTTGCTCAATTGGGTGTTGGTGGTGTGGAACAGAATTCGCAGCCGCAGCATCAGCCGCCGGCGCCGGCAGCTAATGTTTCCGTGGCTGCTTCACAGTCTCAGACTCAGACACAGCCTCAATCTCAAGCTCTGCCTCCTCAATTTCAACAGAAGTCAGCTGGTGTTGTTGATTTGCCTTCTCCTGATTCAGTTTCAAGGTATTTTCAAATTCCTTTTTTTTTTTTTCTTTTTCTCTATCTGGTTTTGACAGGGTCTTTAACTAGATTAGATTAGACTCAATTGTATTATATCTGGGGTGCTATACTTCTTTATGAATTAGGTACTTGAATTATTTATTTGTATCATATTCTGCAGCGATCGTAGTCTTTCAAATGCTATGTCACGCCCAATACCTGTAATCTATCAAGACCAAGTTCAAATTCAATCTGGAACTTCACGGGTTCCTAATACGTCTGTTGATCCGAATCTTTATATGTCTGATCCATATGGTGGGATCCAGATGCAGCAACATTTACAGGAACATGGATATGTATTGCAACAGCAATTTGATCAGCAGCAGCAGCAGCAGCAGCAGCATCATCAGCATCAGGAGGCTCAACAGGCACAACAGTTTATACATGGCACACATTTAATTCACCATACCCCTTCAGGGCCTGTGCCAATCCCTGCATATTATCCTGTATATCAGCAACAGCTCCATCCTCAGCATCACCATCAGCTTGATCAACAATATCAGGTTTACTATGTGCCCGCAAGACAGGCCCAACCATACAACTTGTCCATGCAGCAGGCTAATATTGGTGAATCTGCCACAACTATCTCTTCTAGCCAGCCCCAAAATCAGCCAAACCCTGCTCCATCTGCTGCTTACAACCCCATGAGAAATGCTCCCTTACCTATATCTGAAATGGCTGCAGGTTCGTACAGAACAGCAGCTGCCACCCCTCAATTTGTTCAAGTTCCTGCTGGTCAGCATCAGCAACAATATGTTGCATACTCCCAGATTCATCATCATCCTTCTCAACCAGTGGCCCCTAATTCTGCAGTACCTGCTAATTATGCTTATGACTATGCGGATTCTGCTTATGCTGAAATATTTTATACTCAACCTTTGGCACCCTCCATGCCTTCGCAGTACCAGACCATGACACCTGCGGAAGTTTCTGCTCAGCTTCCCTCGGATAACATGAAGCAGCAGATAAGAACCTCACAGCAATTATAAAAGAGTCTATTAAAAAAAGAAAAGAAAAAGAAACAATTTTAAAGAAATAGGTTTGGTTTCCCCATATTTTTTCTATCGTAGCTCCTGCCTTCTTGATGTTGCCTGTTTTGTGGTATGTGTTGCTGATAAATAATAAAGAAACTGTGATTATCTTGTACACTTTCTAGCTTGTATGTCATAATTTATAGTGAAGGAAAGTGTAAAATTCTAACTTTCAAGCATTTTATTGTGAACTTCATATATCCATTGTTGAAATGAATGTCACGTAAATAAGCCTGCATTGTTTATGGCTCTGGTCTGTGATTCATGGGTTCATGAAAAAATTCTCTGTCGAAACTTTTCATATTTTGACAAGGGCAATAGGTGTGGCCATTTGGAGTCTGTCTTGGAGCTTTTGTTTGGTTCCTTATGTGACCTCAACCAGTGCTAGTAGTGTTTATGCTACGCATGACCGAACAAAATTGTCTTTGCCAAGTTTGAGCTTGAATCTTTTTTATGGAATCCATACCTTCTAATTATTAAGAGGCCAACTTTTACACGCATCACATAGAAATGGTTCTTTCCTTTTTTCTTTTTTTTTTTCGTTAATATTTATGATGATTCCATGCAGCAGAGTATCACAGTGACTAGGCCGTTCTTTAGTCACACAACTGCATCATAATTAGCTGGTTCTCGTTTAACGGCTTATTTTTCTTATTGTGCATGAACATGAGCGTAGATATGATCATATAATTCCTCTACAATGTTAATTGTTATGAGAACTTTTGTGTCATAGGAATTCAAACGATTTAAGATTCAAAAAAGAGCTGATGTAAATGCAATAAACGTTGGTAAGTACTTGAGGGAAACATGACGAAATTCACGACCAAGACACCGTATGATAACGATGTTAAACAAAAGAGCTGATGAGTTGCAATTTTTGACGTACAGTGTGCTTTAAGATTATAATAAAACTTGCGTTACATAGCGCAGTTACATGTTAGTTTTACGGAATTTTAATTGACCTTAATGGTAAACTACACATTTTATTGTATTAAGTATGTATTATGTAACCAATCACCGAAAAAACCTATGTACTAATCAAAGGTTGATTTTTTTTTTTTCTTACATAGAGGTTAATTTCTTATACGGGTAAGACATGGGTAAGATAATTGAGCTGTTTACGGAGGTAATGTTGTTTTTACATTATTTTTAGTACTGATTTTTATGTTGTTTTTTCGAATAACAAAGTAAAAATTAAACATTTTTATCTTTTTCCAAAATCATAAAAAGTATAAAAATAGTATAATATTTAAAAAAAATAAAATTATCCTGTACATTATACAGAGAACAATTTCATTCCCTTTGGATGAAACATATTTTACTTTTTTTTTTTTGAGTTACCCAACCTTAATTACCTCTTTGAGGCGAGTTGGCTCCCTCCGGTATCCCTACGAGCTTCGACTCTTTGAGCCGGCTATGGGACTAATCCGGAGTGCGGGGGAGCAGTGATGACTAAAGGTTCAGCCCCCTCCCTAAGAATGCATTCAGCAGGAATCGAACACATGTCCAACCCCACTAACTCAGCGCCAAATTACCAACTGAGCTGCATCCATTGGGTAACATATTTTACTTTAGTTCATCACTATTATTTTTAAAGTCGATAATTATACTTTTTAAATTATTTATATAATCATAAATCAATTTCAATTATTCTTTATTACTATTTTAATATTGAGCGAATTACATGTACGAGGAATGATTTTGTTATTATATTTTATAATTGATCATATTATATTAATATTTAATTAATATTATTTTTTTATTATTATTTTTACATTTTAAAAATGTGAGTTTAACATTGTGAATGAAACTTATTAAAGAAGTTAAGTTTAGAATGAAAAAAGGTACTAAGAAGACATATAATACAAAACTCATATGTCGAAATTTTATTTTTTATATAATATTATTAAAAGTATTGGATATGTTTGGTTGAAGAAAATTGCACTCAATCTTAAATTTTAATTTATTGTAGTTATAAATTAATTAACATTCAATTATGTTTTCTCAATAACAAGTATATTTACACTGATATTCATAACTTTATTTCATGGGTACTGTAAAAAACAAGGATATTACATTGATATTCATTAAATAATAAAAGCTTCTAACATGGACAAAATTATTCCAAAATTATTCAGCAACGCATCTACACGCTAAAGTCGCTGCCTACACTCAAATGTTGTCATCTTTGACTTAAATTTGGGACAGATTGTTGATGCTTACACCGTTTGAAGATGCATCCCCCTGAGTCAAGGTGAACATTAATTATTAACAATATCATACATTAATTATTAACAATATCATCTACCAAAATGATTGAGTTAGAAATTGTCAATGGATCTCGGAGTTTCTATTATCTTGGAAGTTGATTTCTCTGTTATATTTAATCTTCCTTGAGCGTTTGAGGGACCCAATGCGCCTATGTGACAATTAGGGCTGTGCATGGGTCAGGTAGGGTCAGGTTTTTGTCCGACTCGACCCAATTTGGTTTTTATAGGTCAGGTATTTTGACCCGACTCGCTTTAATTTGATCCAAGTCAGGTCTGACTTGGATTGGATTTTGTTGAACTAGTTCAGAACCAGTTTGGATCTGACCTGACTTGGTTTCTGAAGTGGGTCTGACTTGGTTTCTGAACTGGGTCAAATCTGACCTGACCCGTTTTTGACTTGGTTTTCTCACAAAATTTTGTCGAAATTTTTACGTTGCAAAAGACGAAAATTTCGTCACAAAATTATTTTTTCGTCGAAATTTGTACAAAAAAAAAAATTTTCTATTGAAATTTTGTTTCCGTCAACAGTTTTGACGAAAATGATTTCTTCCATCAAATGTTTTAAACGAAAAAAGAATTTTGTCAAAAAATTTGACGGAATATTTTTTTGTTCAAAATTTCGATGGGAATGTGTTCTGACGAAAATTTTGACGGAAATTATTTCGAGGGAAATGTTTCATTTGAAACTTTCGACGAAATTTAGATTCTCTAAAGAATTTTGACAGAATATTTTTTTCGTCAAATGGTTTTTTTTGTCAAAAAAATTTACGGAATTTTTTATATAAATGTGTTTCGTTGAAAATTTTGATGGAAATTTTTTATCAAAAAACTTGACGAAAATATTTAGTTGAAAATTTTCGATGGAAATGTATTTCGCTAAAAATTTCGACGAAAATTCTTTTTTGTCCAAAAATTTAACGAAAATATGTTCGTCGAAAACTTTCGCCGAAATTTGAAATGTGTAAAGAATTTTGATGAATTTTTTTGCAGTCGAAATTTTTTGCCGTCAAAATTTTTTGATGACAAAAATATTTCCGTCGAAAACTTTTGCCGAAATTTGAAATATGTAAAGAATTTTGATGAAATTTTTTGCCGTCGATATTTTTGGCCGTCAAAATTTTTTGATGACGAAAATGTTTCCGTCGAAAACTTTCGCCAAAATTTGAAATCTATAAAGAATTTTGATTAAATTTTTTGCCGTCAAAATTTTTTGCCATCAAAATTTTTTGATGACGAAAATATTTCCGTCGAAAACTTTCTCCGAAATTTGAAATCTGTAAAGAATTTTAATGGAATTTTTTGCCGTCGAAATTTTTTGATGAAAATATGTTTCGTCGAAATTTTCAATGGAAATTGTTTTGAGGAAAATGTTTCATTTGAAATTTTGACATAATTTTTTTACGTTAAAACTTTTTTTTTAATGTAATTGTGAAAAAAAAAAATTCACATAATGGGTATGGGTCAAGTTTTGGGTTAGTGGGTCAATATTAAAACGAGTCAGGTCTAAAACTGACCCAAATAAAAGTGGGTCAGTATGTAAACCAGTTCTAAAAATATGGGTATTTATGGGTCGGGTCAAGGTCGGATCAAGGGCAGGGCAAGTGAACCAGTTTTTTTCACACCCCTAGTGACAATGGGGGCACTCCACGTTGATTTAATGCCTACTAAGATAATGCACACAATTGGCGCAAATACTTTCATGACTTGAGTGAAAAATTTAAGAATTTGAAACAAAAATTAATTTATACTTGGTGATGGAATAAATTTTACCGTTCTAATATTACTTCTAAAAATCACCACCCCAACTATCTTTTCCTTTCAAGTAAGTATACTCGAGATTTCGTATGAGCAGTGGTGGAGCCATGTTTAATTTTTAAAAATTAGCCATGCTTTAGATTTGGATAAATAATCGTGATTAAGTTGAACGGATAAAATTTAATAGTTGACACTAACTAAATTTTTTTTTTGCTCTTGGTTCATTAATCTTGCTGGCTCCGCCGCTGCACGAGCTAATTTGTCAAGCATGCACATCACTCTCAAGCTAATGCCTCACTTTGTGATTAGGGGCATACAAGAATAAATATGTAAACCTCTAACCAAAACGATGCCGAAAGAGGTGAAAATGATAGAGCTGGGAGTGGAGGACCTGGAAGAAGTAGTGACGAGTCTTTGGTTCATTCAACTCACACTCATGAGAACCAACATTGAACATACCACATAACCACACCTTTAGTGAAACACTAGCAAAACCAGTACTAAGACAATCCAAACCATTCGTTTTCGAAGGAGATAGCAATAGTATGATATCAAGGAACACTTAAAAAATCTGTATTGCAATCACCTTTACCAATGCCGTCTCGCCAGTTTTACCGAGTTGATAACTTGTTTTTTCATAATCAATTCTCTCAAAAGCTTAGTTCATTAGTGAATATATTAGGAGAAGGGTGTCTAAGGAAAGACAACATTCAAGTAGGCTAAGGAACTATGTAGCTTAAGGCCACTTGTTATATCACGTGTTATATGAGTTGTAGCTAGAGGTGTGACATGGAATGTAGTTAGAGTCACAGTTACTTAGTTGGCTAGCTAGTTTGTTACATAATCTTTGATTGTAAACAATGGTATAAAAGAGATTGATGTATTCAGAAAAAGATATCTAAATAATAAACTTGTTGATTGTTCTTTGTTCTCTATCATTTCCTCTCTCTGATAGATTGATACCTAACAGATTATACACATGATTTTTATACGTATTTTTTATTATATCCCCTCATATAAAAATACACTAAAATATCACAATAAGAAGAACGAGGCCGGTAAATATCAACTCTAAACTATCATAAAATCTGAGATAATGATACATAAATGATGTCTATATTTATTATCAAACAAATAATTTTAAAATTAACAAATATTTGTTATTTAATCTTTTATTCGAAATATAATATTATAGGGTCAATAAGGCTCTAATTATCATGTAATTAATTTTCACAAAAGCTTAAACTGCTAGTTGAATGTACATGAATAATTTTATTATATCTCTTGACATATTTCCTTATGCAGAAATCCTTTGGATTTTGAGATGTGGATAATACATAGGCGTTTTATTTTTTTAATAACCTTAAATTCAACTTATTTTTTTATTTAAAAAATAAGGGCAACAAAGAATGAACTCTACAACACATAATCATATAACTCTCCAAAAAAAAAAAAAAACTTAAGCCGTTGAATAAAACACACAATTTTTTTTTGTTATATCTCTTATATATTAACTCTCATACTTTTTTTATCTCCCAATAATATGCCACTGAACAAACCAATTTTTCCTTCCCATTCTCTTTTAATCCACATACTTTTCTATACCACCACCTCTTTTTTTCCAACGATGGTTGGTAGATACAACCAAACAAGCAAATGAAGCAATGCATAAGAGTAACAGCATCAAGAAAAATCTTTGCATGAACAGGGATAATGAAGTGAAATGTTCATTTATTGCATAAGAAAACTTATTATTATTATTATTATTCATGGAATGATCACATGTATCAAGTCCACGTGGAGCAAGCTACCCAATAGAAGTAGTGGTCTTGGGCTTCAATTCAGTCTCCTATATGATACGAGCCCCAAAACTTAGGCATGAAGTCTTCATTATTATTTTTTGAAATCCAAGTCTTCATTATTCAACGAAGAATGAAAATATTACAAAGATCAGTGCATTTAATATTGAAACGCCAGGCCTTTTCTTAATTTCTACGTAATTAGAAAAATTATTAGACTACTTTCCAAAGAGAATACAACATTTCTGCGTAGTAGCTCTAGAAATTTCTCATCAGAAGTTGATTTATTAAAGACGACAAATTTTTATAATATTAAATGCGCAAGTGTCCTATATCTAATTATTTTACAATATTAAATTTACTTTTTATTAATGTTTAGCATTTTTTTGCAGGAGTGTATGTGTTACTCAAATTTTACATATGCAATGCTTATAATATTTCTGTTTTTGTTGCAAATTTTTTTTTTTTTTTAATACAAGTTTTTTTTTTTTAATCACACTCACATAAGCGGTGACGGAGCCATCCCATTCATTGAGTTATGGTCAATAAAAATTTAGATGAGACATAATACTTAATTTTATCCAAAAATTTAGCCACAATTACTTAATTATTTTAAAAACGTGATTAATTTTTAGATTTTAACCGAGGTGAAAGGCCTCACTTGCCCCTAAGTGGCTCCACCACTGTTAGGGATGTTCATCAACCGATCCAAACTGATTCAAACCGCGGTGGCTAACCGAAAACTGAATTAACTGAAAAATAAAAAATCAAAAAAATCGAAAAATTTAATTGGATTGGATCGGTTTTTGGATGGGTTGGTGAAAACTGATCCAATCCAAACCGATCCAATTATTCCCTAATCTTATCATTTACTTACTTGGGTCTTTTTCCAATCATAGTCCAAAAATTGATTGGTAGTAACAGTCACACTAATTGGTTGTTACAATATCCTACCTCATATAAGAGATATTTATTATAATAAATATATCGAAGAAATTATTATAATAATAAGAAATAACATATTAGATTAAAATGATTTTTTATTTAAAAATTCTGCCCTTCTGTCTCTTTGTATTAAGATCATCTGTTTTTTTTCGAACTTACGCGTAAACGACCCATATTGGTTAGCCTTTTTAATAAAAGTAAAAATAAAAATAAAAATAAAATAAAATAATAAATAGAACAACTGTAACTGTCTGGCGTGATTTAGTGATTTAGTTCTATCTGTTTTCCGCTTACCATCCTGTACCTGAATCCCTGATATCTCTCCCCCTATTCTCGGTAGTCCACGCTAGCTGACAAATCCTTTATCCTTCTTTACTTTTGAGTATTAATTAATAAATGAACAAACGAAAATTATTATTACTTTTTTTTAATTAAATAAAAGACCTTTTGTCCTTTTCCATTATTATGATGAGTCTTTCCCATTTCGTCATTTTCCGTGTAAACCTTCCTTCTTTTAAAATGTTGCATTTTCTCTGTTAAACCTTTTCTCTAAATTCCATTTCGTTTGCATTCTCAGTTACACCGAACCTCGTGCTGGTGAGTTCCTCCTTCTTTCTCTTGCTTAGTATGCATTTTTCTTTAACTTACATTCTTTCTTTTTTTTGTTTAAACCGTGTCTAGCGTTCGCATCTTGTCCCTTCCTTTAATATCCACTTGTTTATTCTGAAATCTCTGAGAGAGAACAATCATTGTTGGAGATTTGTGAGCTGACACTGTGATCAATTAATTATTTTATGGTTATCTGAGTTTAATTACAATCCGTTTGCTTTTGTTTGAGACAATTCTCACTATTTTTTTTTTTTTTTTTTGGTTAAGTTGCTTATTTGGTTCTTATAGGTTTGGGCTCACGCAATATACAATTTAGCCTTCGTAGTCCAAAACTAATTGAACTGGTTCTTATAATAGTTGGGAAGGATTATCTTACGAGAGAGTAAGTCCTACATTCATTACGCTCGAATTAGTCATGTTTTTGTTAGGGCTAAAATTGAGTATAAGAACTCAACCGGTGTAGTTCAGTTGGCAATACATACTGAGTAGGTGGGGAGAGAACCTGACTCGATTGCCACCAAATACATTCGGGGTGAAAATCTTTAAATGTAACTAAATCCCGACTCAGAATTAGTCCCGTAAATGGCTCTAAAAATTGAAGTTTGTGGGGATATTCGGAAGCCTACTTGTCTAAAAGAGATAACTAGGGTGGTATACCAAAAAAAAAAAAATTGAGTGTAAGACTTGTTGCTTCGGAAGTTGATCCAGCCTCGTTTTCAAAATGTTCAAAATTTTCTTTATAACTTTCAAACACTGGATCCCTACCATCAATGCCGTTTCAAACAGTCACATTCGTCATCACAGTATATATCATGTTTGTCATGTCATATTACTCTAAGGACATGTTTTATGAATTTTGAAATGTAGGAACCAAATTGTATTTAGTGTGACACTATAGGGACCAAATAAGTGATTTCACCCTTTTGTTTTCTGGGTTCAAGCTGCTTAGTTTTTGGGTTTCTCCCGGTCTCTGTTATCCTTTGTTACTTTCAGTTTAATACCATTTACCAGTGCTTCTTGCCGCAATACGTGAAATACTCAGTTCGAATTTTCTGTTTTTGTGCTTTCTATTAAATGACCTTTGTGAATTTTGTGGCTGAAGTGAACTGCATAGTCTTCAAATGATTGCGGAATGTACATATACAGAAATAGAATGCATAATGAGATCCTAGAGTATAATGTTAATAGCAATGCCAATTATACATTACTACATATTTTATATTTTTCATGAACGAGTACAAGGCACAGTATTACTTAAAACTAATATAATGGAAACTGGGGCAATATATTCAGATAGCCTTCATCTTCACTATGTCCAATAACACCACGAAAATGAACTTGTAAGTTGAAACCATGTGAAATTGTGGTTTCCTTGTCCTACAAGGCTACGCCCTTTAGCAGACAAGGAAAAGGGCTAAAAATGGGGGTCTCTGTGGAAAAGATTGCACCAATATTCTTCAGCCACCAAATTGCATAGTTACTTGGGGGGCGTTTGGTAGAGGATAAATTTTTTGTGCCTGTGAATTACGATTACGAGGAATATGCTTGAAAAGTGAATTTCCTAGAAAAGTTACCAAAAAGCTATTTGGTAGGCCAAAATATTCCTAGGAATATTGGCTCAAGTTTCTTGATTCTATATTTGGTTGATTGTCACTTATTGCTGAGAATATGAGTTGATTTTACAAAACTACTCTTTCCAATTTTATGATCCTTGTTGAAACTCTCTCTTCATCGTCTTCCTTTCTCTCTCCCTTCCCAACCCCTTAGCTCGGGACATAGGACATAACCCACTTCCACAATCTTAAAAAAACAAAACCCACAAGCAATAGTGTTTGTGAGAGGAAAGCCAACAAAGCCGTTGAAACCCATCAAATTTTTTCCGTTTCGCCATGTCAGGTATCACTAACGGTTCCCTCTAAATTTGGATCTGTAGTTGGGGCTTTGGATTCTTGTTTCTGCTTCGAATTCTTTTCGGCGGCGTGAGGCAGGGACGAAGAGACAAAGAGAGCAACGGATTTGGAACGAAGAGGCAGGGGTATTATTGTCCGAAAAAATTTGGGAAATTTTTCCACTGAGTGGGAATCCAAGAATACCACCCACCCGGTGGTATTCTTCAATGAGATTTTGCTTCACAAAAATAAATCCTGTGAATCTGATTTTTCCAGGAAAATTTTCACAATCCTTATACCAAATGTGGTTAAATAGGATTCCCAATGTTAGTTTCCCCGGAATCTAAAATTTACCCACGTACCAAATTTTTGTTGCTTTAGTTAGTGGTAAAGCTAGTCTTTGTGACTGAAAGATTACGGGTTTGAATCCGGGAAACAACCTCTTTGCAAATATGTAAGAGTAAGGCTATGTATAAGTATTACCCTTACCCCTACTCTTGTTCTATGTAGCACCGATACGACACGCGACACGACACGACACTCCGACACGTCAATCCTAAAAAATTATGGATTTCGACACGTTGGGACACGTTTTAATATTAAATAATATTTTTAATTTATATAGTGTATATTTCATTTAATATTTAATAATTTAACAAAAAAATGAAACTAAATTAATAATACCCATCAACACGTTATAAAGATGGAAGCTTTAATAAAAAAAATAAGAACTGGGATGAGAGAGAGATATAATATCAGATAGAGAGATCAAATCATATTAGAGAGAGATCAGAGAGAAGAAGATACAACAAGAGCGTGATTATCTACTTAAGGGGAAAAAAGACAGAAAGATAAAATTGATATGATCAGGTGGAAGCTTTATTAATATATTTTAACTTTTAAAAAAACTAAATTTTTTAAATTTTTTTTTTTACGAAAATGCCATTTGACCGTGTCGGACACGGTCAAATTCACGTGTCGGAATGGTCAACGTGTCGGAAAAAGTCAACCGCGTGTCCGACACCGTGTCGGAGCGTGTCGGACCCGACTCTTCCTGTTTTTACAAGTGTCCGTGCTTCCTTGCTCTTGTTAACCTTCCTGTTTTGTCATTCACAGCAAAAAGATGCCAGAAGTTCAGTTGGGCACACACACCATCAGATCACATGGAGCTAAAGTGGCAAGGATACATATGCATGACTGGTTGATTCTTTTACTTATTGTGATCATTGATGTCATCTTGAATGTGATAGAGCCATTTCACCGCTTTGTTGGAGAGGGGATGATGACCGATCTGAGTTATCCTTTGAAAGATAACACTATACCCTTTTGGGCTGTTCCGGTATGTTTTGCTTCTAAGAACTATGCATCCTTATTGAGATTATATTAATGACTTAATGTTGACCCTTGATTGACGTCTAATATATGAGCTGATTGAGCTCTTGAATTTCAATTTTTTGACAGATAGTAGCAATATTGTTGCCAATAGCTGTCATTCTTATTTACTATTTCATTCGAAAGGATGTTTATGACTTCCACCATGCTATCTTGGGTACATTTCTGACCTTTAGAAAGCTTTTCCTATCCTCATTTGCACATCACTTTTTTATAAACAAACCTATATATTGCTAAGTGCATATTCAGGGCTTCTATTTTCTGTACTCATTACTTCGGTGATAACGGATGCTATCAAAGATGGTGTTGGACGGCCACGCCCAGATTTCTTCTGGCGTTGTTTCCCTGATGGAAAAGGGGTGGGTTCTCAATTTTGTCAATTACCTAGATTGCCTAATTAATACCATTACCATGTGATATATATTGCTTTTACTTAGTTATCTGCTCAATAAACATGGCATTGATGCATGACATGTTCAGGTATTTGATCCTGTAACAAGTGATGTTAGATGTACTGGAGATAAGAGTGTTATTAAGGAAGGGCACAAAAGTTTTCCAAGTGGACATACCTCTTGTAAGTACACTGAACAATCTCAGGATATATGTATTGCTTAGTTTTTATTTTGATGTATTGTTTCATCCTCCATGATCTACATTTCCATTGGAATAATGGTCTTATTGCTTCTTGATATCTATATATTGGTAATGATATGCTTTAAATTCAGAAAACGTTTCAAGTTCTAGAAGAAACATGTATTCCAAGTTAAAGGAAGAATTGAATATTCACTGGTCAAATCGTTCACTCCATCATAATCTGATAGATCTTTTGATGAACTAAGTAACTAATTAAACAAGAATAAAGAGAGTTCCATTCTACATGTCAATACTGACAACAATGATATATATTAAGAGGGAAACCCATCAAATTTTGAAATTGTGATGTTTCAAATCCTATATTAAGGCTGAAGTTTTTCTGGATAAATATAAATATAATCACAAGGCCAGAAATTGTCATTGATGTTCAGGTTCAGAGGAAATTTTCTTTCTTTTTTTTTAAAAAAAAAAGAAAAGGTTATATACCTCCTTATTTAATCATACTACTTCTAGAATGTTGAAATAGTTGGTGCTTTTGTAAATACTTAGTCTCTCAAACTTGTGAATTTTCTTTGTCCACTGAATGGCCAAAAAATATATTGGGGCTAGCATTTGCATTTTTTTGTCACTGGGCATTTGGTCTAACTTGGGTTGGGAACGACCTATTTATATTGTTTGTTCTCATTTTGCAATATATTCTCAGAAAGATTCAATTGTTGATATGCAGGGTCCTTTGCTGGGCTTGGTTTTCTTGCGTGGTATCTATCTGGAAAACTCAAGGCATTTGACCGTAGGGGCCATGTTGCAAAGCTTTGTATTATTTTCTTACCACTTCTCGTGGCAGCTATGATTGCTGTCTCTCGTGTTGATGATTATTGGCATCATTGGCAAGATGTTTTTGCTGGAGGGCTTATAGGTCTGTCGAAGCCTGGAATATTCTTTGTTTGATTTATCAATATATCAGTGATTCAGTATGCCTTTCTGCTGACTTTTTTATCTGAGCTCTTATGCAGGTCTGACAGTTGCTTCCTTTTGTTACTTACAATTCTTTCCACCCCCATATGACGTAGATGGTATGCCCATGAATTGTTACTTTTATCTTTTTTGGTATCTGTTGATATTGTTGTGACAATCTGCATTTGTTCCTTAAAATTTGTTTGATATAGTTTTGTAATTTGTATATTGAGGTTATATCTTTGTTGATGTAATACTAATTCACCCGCTGCACGCACCTGCTAGATGACCAGTATGACTCTGGTATCCTTAACCCAAGTCAGCCAAGTTCTTTGCTCATACTTTCAATACTAACCTTGGTGCTGTCGTGCTGATGTCTGGGGTAACATAATGCCAATACTTTATGATTTTTTGTGAGAAAATATGAAATTGCGGGCTATATGACTTGTAGGCGGAATTGTTCCATTTGTTTCTTGAAGAACATTATGTTGCAGATGTTGGAGTTTGATACTTTAATTTGTAGTTGAGAAAAATAGCAGGGACGAGTGCAGGGTGTTGGAGCTGGGGGAGATACATGCATAAAAGATTTTGAAGACTTGAAAGAGCCTTCTTCCTAATCCCACTTGTGATAATTTTATATTCATCCTAGTAATTAGATTGCCTCAAGAAGACCTGATCATTAGGCTAGGTACCTGCCAAGCTTAAACAAGCCTAGTCTAGTATCGTAAATTGTTTGTTTTGAACATAATTTGTTTTAAAAAGTGATTAATTGTTTATTTTCTGTAATAAAAATAAAAATTTAATTTGATATTGTGATTTGAGTTAGGTTGGGATCAATTTTAGTAATAATAATAATTAAAAAAAGACTTTGGGCGAGGGTTTTCAACTTACAGCATAGCCTCTCTATCAGGTCTAATGGGGCTTTTTATAGGATTTTCGACTTTTATAACATGGTTCTCAACTTGTAATTACATTTACAGATTTTTCGCTCATTAAAGTCAATCTATTTAATTTCTTATAGTGATGAAACCATAAAGGATAGGAAAACAGCGAAAATTGGTCACTGTATATATTCTTTAAGTTAGATTATGTCATAGATCGGTATCTCTGTTTATGGATCAATCATTTATTTCACGAAGGATCAAGAAATGAGGGATTTTGTCTGTTTCAAAGGCTATCATGTGTAATGGGAGAATTTTGTTTGTCGCCTTGGCGGCTTTTTATGTTGCTTGATAATATTGCAAAATGTGTTGTTAATTTGGATAAAAAATATAGGTTTTATGTTTATCATGTAACATAACAAAACTTCACTTTCCTACACACACACATTAAAGAGGTCGAGTCTGCATGTTTTTCTTTCTCTTTCATCATTCCACTTTCTCTCTCCCTTTTGTGGTGTGTGTTGGAAACAAAACTCAAGTTATGTAACATAACATTAATAAAACCCAAAAAATATATGGGTATAAGTGCTCATGTCTTGTCATGTTGGTTAAACAATTCTATGAGCTCAACTGCAATGTTTTATCGACTTACCTGGGCTGGTATACGTGAGAGCTACACGTAACTTACTACTCCTATGCATTCCTTACCAAAAAAAAATACTCCTATGCTTCACTGTTTTCTTCTGACCACGTTAACTTGCTTGTGGGCTTTAAAATTAAAGTCAGTCTATTGTTGTTCCTTTTTCAGATTTTGAAAGAAAAAAGAAATAATTTACAACTTTCTTGTGTGTTTACATCTTTACTTCGATTTATTTGCAGGTTGGGGACCTCATGCATATTTCCAGATGTTGGCTGAATCTCGTAATGGTGCTGAACCCTCTTCTGCGAACAATGCGAGTCTTCATGCACAACTTGCTGATCTTCAGACTGTATCTGTGAATATCCCACCTCAACATGATGGTGATACTGCACGAGCTGATAGATGAGATTGATCACAAAATGAAAGGATACTCTGACTTTCCATTGAGAGTTCGTAAGGTCATTGGAAAGATCACCAGATGTTCGTGATCTGTAAAAATTATAGGGGGTTTGGGTATCTTTTTGCAGATTAACGACGCTCTAGCATCAATTGACTGTTAAAAATGCACAATGTCGATTACTTAGGTTGTGAGATGTTTATTGGATTAGGAATATCTTGTTGATTTGTCCTTTTCGGCCATCCTTGTTAGTTGACATTTTGTTGGTCATCTTAGTTTTTAGTTGTCAAATTACTGTTTTATGTACATATCATATTACTGAAGGAAATCTTAGATTTATGCGGAAGCGGTTTAGGACCTAGTACATTGGTATGCTTACCGAATCATCATTGTTTCACAATTACCTCTCGGTGCGCAGGTCTCGTGTAGAATCTTCCCTTGTAGGATTCCTCTTCACGAACAGCTCACCTCAGCGCCGCAGCACGAACAACCTCCTTGAAGCTGGACTGTGGCAGATCTTCCAAACTATCTCTCGAGGAGGAAGGGGAAGTGTGTGGGCACTGATTAGATTCAGAGCTTGCCTCTTTCTCACAAAAAAGACCTTGGAGGCTGATGACTTAAGAGGTACTATTTATATGGGTTCCAAGAAACCCTAGCTCATTGGGCTCTAGGTTCCTTGGGCTCTTCTCATACTAATAACCCATTTGGGCTTTAGTAAAAGAGCAAACCCAACAATCTCCCACTTGCTCTTTTGGATACAAACTTGAGTCGTAAAACCCAAGATCATGTAACCCATAAGTCATCATCTATCCGAAAAATACCCCATCCCTTGTCTCAAGCTAGCTTGGGGATCTACCATCTGTTATTAATCAAGGCTCCTGATAATCAACGAATGATTATCTAATTCGGTGCTACTCCACTAAAAGCCCGAACTTGAACTCCAAGATTAACAACACTTATAACATGAATATGCATCGCCCCTTTGTAGAATGTCTATAATTGATTGACAAGTTCTCTGTAACTCAATCAATTATTTATTCCCTTGACTATGATAGTTTCTTTAATGGATTACATGCACTGGCCAGTGTCTTTAATATCCAAGTACCGAAACATATCAAGGGGACATATCCTACAAATTCCATGTTGTTTATCTCATAAATACCGATAATCAAATAATCTCACTCCCAAAATACCGAGTTATTGGCCGTCAATAGATCGAACCTCACCCGTTGATAAATCAAAGAATGAAAACTATTTGATTACCTATTTATAATAAACTCAGGATTAAGAGCAATCACATAACTATAGTTAACTGGAAATTTGATTCCTTATGACAGAAAGAACAACCTTAATCAAATCTCTCCTTGATCCTTTCAATGTGAATGTTAATTCACACCAATATTTTACAATGATTCAGACAAAACCATTTCATAAAATATTGCAGCCTAAATAAAGTGCCCAACTTTATTTAACAGCTGTGAATCCATTCATCAATTGTGAGAACCTATGATCATGTCCTCCATGAACGTATCCATATGATCATATACTCCACAATTTGATCCGGACCTTTATGTTTGTAAATAGTGCGCAAAATAAATAAATAAAACCTTATTTATGAAATTCAGAAAATTATTTTATTGTTTCATGGTCTTACTCCAAGAGCACAATGAAACCAATAACTCTCACTTGCTTAATGCAAGTCTGGGATCCTCTTAAGACCCAAAGAAGTAACATGCCTCTCGAACACAAGTTCAGGCAAACTCTTAGTAACTGGGTCTGCAAGATCCACCTCTAATGCTATCTGAGTTTAGTGAAAAACTCATAGCTCGAGGTTGATTTTCTTGAGTCAATATCGACTTGAAATAACTGAATATTTGAAAACTCAGCTTTTCAAGACTCCCACTAGAATATATCAGCATATAATCTCTCGTTCTCCAAAGATACTTGAGTACATGCTTAACAATAATCTAGTATTCCTCTAGGTTCAAAATGGTACTATCTCACTACTCCCACTGCGTGACAGATGTCTGGTTTAACGCCCAACATGATATGCGTGAGTCTACCTTTGCTAAAGCATAAGATATCTTGCTCATGCATTCTTCCTTCTTAGAAGTCTTTGGTCACTCCTTAGGAAGATGAATTCCACATCTGAGAATTATAATTCTTCTCTTAGAATTCTCATGTTGAATTTTGGCAAGAGTTTTGTCAATGTAAGTAGCCTGAGGTGATGCCAACAACTTATTCTTCCGGCCTCATAAGAGTTTTATACCAAGAATATAATTGGCTTCCCCAGTACTTCCATACCAAAACACTAACTTAGCCAACTCTTTATGCTTGATATTACCTCCACATTGTTTCTAATAAGGAGCATATCATCTACATAAAGTACCATAAAAGCTACTGTCTTCCGTTGTATCCTTTACATACAAATACACATCATTCATCAAGGTTCTCTCAAAATCAAAATTTTGATAACCTGATCAAAACTGATGTTTCAAGACCTGGATGCTTGCTTAAGTCTATGAAATAGACTTTCACAACTTGCATACCGTGTGTTCCTACTCATTTGCTATAAACCCTTTTGGTTGTAGTATGTAGATATCCTGACATCCAACTCCCAAAATGTATTCTCATAATTGAGACTTATAGCAACTAAGAGAATCTGGATAGACTCAAGCATGGCGTCTGGCAAAAAATGCCTCCAAGCTAGCTTTGAAGGTTTTCACCTTTCTGTCCATCCTCTCTTTGCCTTTTATGTCCACATGCACCTTGTGGGTTTTACCCTTCTTGGTGTCTTTACTAGGACCGAACGGAGTTGAAATACAAGTATTTCATCTCATTGTTCATAGCCTGAGCAACACTTGATCAACAACATCTTCTAGTGCATTATCGTAACTAGTAGGATCAATGTCACTCAACAAGAAACAACTTGAGAGTTAACAAGGTTCTCTCCCACTACGAATGTACTGTACTAGACCTTGTGTATTTATAGGTAAAACAAATAGTGGGCCAAATGATGGATCTTCAATTTCTTGAGGATCCGCTTATTCTTGATATTGTTCCTTTACATGTGATACTAATATTTCTACTAGTTTCACTTATATATTATCATGTTGAATTTCCAATCATGGTTCTCTTGTTTGTTCACTTAGAGATATATCTATCCCCTCTTAAACAATCAAGGGAACAGTGGATGAAGCTTCTAGAGATTCTGGAAATTCTTGATCTGAGATAAATCTCATCAAGAATAACCTAACTTAAGAGCTTATAATTTATTATCTAGTCCTCCTTTAAGAAAATCATGTGAGTGCTCACTTAGATTATCTTGTCCTTAAGACTAAATAAGAAATCATCCCTAGTTCTCTTAGGGTAGCCAAAAGATATGCACTCTTCTATACAAGATTTCATCTCATTTGACTGTTGTTGTAGGACGTGTGCCGTAGCACCCTAAATCCGAATATGGTTTGATCTGGGCTTGCACCCTTTCCATAATTCTCTAGGTGTCTTTACAACAAACTTTGACGGAATCAAGTTAAGAAGGTACATTTCCTTCTCTTAGGCATCTCCCTTGAACAACATTGACAAAGATGAATAGCTGAACATGATCTGCACCAAGTCTAGAAATGTTTGATTTTTGCATACTGCAACTTCATTCAACTAACGCGTTCTTAGAGTTGACAGTTACAAAAACTATCCCCTCTTAAATCAGGTAAGACCTGAAATTACCAGACAGGTAGCCAAACACTTTAGTAGACCAAAGTGTTTTGATTTGAACACCTACATGTTTTTCTGCCTCAGACTAAACCTCTTGGAATTTCTAAAAGCTTTAGACTTATGGCGCACTTGGTTCATCTGTCCAAATCCAGAGTAAACATTCATATAATGAAGTACTCATCACCTCTTCTGGTCTGAACGCTAATTGGTCCACATACATTAGTATGTACCAGTTCCAGTTGAATAGTTGCGCAAACCTTTTTGGCCCTTGTAGGATTGCTTGGCCACTTTACCTTCCAAATAGGACTAACATGTAGCTGTTAGTTAAAAGATTCTTGAACTTTCAGTATCTCTTTTAACTAAAACATATTTTCTACTTGAGATAATGTGACTCAATCACAAAGGCCAAAGTTATGTTTCATTTGAAACTTTTATTTCTTTGGTGAAAATCCTTGTTCATCATCCTTTCCATTCAACATAACAAATTTAAAAAAGGTTATAGGCCATAGGTAATAAAGACTATTTAAACAATGTACCAGAACAAACAAGACGAAGATGAACTTCGAAATGTAACTGAGGAATCAATTGCATTGTCAACCCATGTTTTAACCAAAACAACTAACAAAAATTGAATTCCTCTTGAAATCTGGAACAAATAAACAGTCACCCAAAACCATAGTCTTATAAATAACTTGTCTTACTGCAAATGCAGACACAAGTTCCCAATTTCAAGCTTAAAATATCTATGTCCATTGCTGACATGTATGCCATGTTTGAACTACTACAAAGAGTAACAAACATAATCAGTGATTCCTGAATCAATGATTCATTCACTGATCAGGCCTTAATATACCCATGTCTGGTTCTTTTCATCACCTCTGGGCAATTTTTCTTTCAGTGTCCCTTCAGTCTGCACTTGAAGAACTTGCCTTGCGGCTTCTTCATAGCAACTGGTTTGACAACTGATAACCAAGTTATTTTGTTCTTGTTACCACCCTTGGGTTTCCCTTTGGATTTAACAAGACTCTTAGCAAAGCATGCACCGACTGCATTCTGTCTAGCAGAACTGCTAGACGCAGCAAACATGTCATTAAGAGCCTGAAGCATTTCTACTCCACTCTTAATCATGTACACTTGCTTTTGCAAGTATTTGGAAAGACTGACAATAATATAGCAACGAACTACCATATCTGCCCTTTCTCAATCTGAGAAATGCATCTTAGTTTCCTTAAACGCTTTCTCTGCAGGTTGCTATGGCCCTCACATTGTCAGAACAAATTTTAGCTTCCATGTTTTAGAACAATATCAAAGATTTGCTTTTCACTTATTCATAGTTGGTACCATCTAGAGGTTTTCGACTCAAAATCATTTCTAAGATATTTTCTGAAAAACATATAAAGCACACAATTACAAACAAATAATGCAATAAACAAACGAAGTGCAAGTAGATTCTCATAACTACTCTTGTTTATTGTTAACAATCCTTCAGTTTATCTTTACAAGGCTTACGATGGGCAAGTCACTTGTAAAAACCAAAATTGTTATTTGGGCCTTCAGTGCCATTGCCAGAGCCTCGATGGGAGGGTTAACAATTTTACCAAAGTTGAATGTAATTAACCATTGT